AGTGTTTTATTTAAATGTGTACTACTCGCGTAAACTATAGACAGTATTTAAAATATTAAGTATTAAAAGTTAATCCAGCCAGGACAACATCATCTCTAAAACTGTTAACTAAGTATTTTTTCAACTTAAATAAAAAATTAAATAGCCCAATTATTTTTAACAACGTTTTCACAAGCTAAAAAAAATTATGAAACAAAACTTGGCACCATATAAGCAGTTGATTATAACGCTTCGATTTCAGTAATAGTTTCTTACAATTAGAAAGAACAATTAAGAATGTTGTTCTAACGAAATCCGTAACATTAGCGAATATTTCACGAGCTCTGATTCATGTGAGGCGATTTGCCCGAGTTATGTCCCATTTACACTAATTTACTGACTGGAATGAAACCGCATCCTTATTCATTTATTGCGCAAATATCTATCCAACAATGCCAATAGTACGTTATTACGATAATGGACTAATATTACTTTTCTCTGGTCTCGTATGTTTCTTATAAGCTTATACTATTTTATTACAAGTAATAACTCAACTTTTTGTACATTTCGAAATGGGAAACATTGGCATTTGGTAGCTATTAAATAACAGTAATATATTCTTTGACTTCTTAACACCCTATGCAAGTCGATGTTAGAAGAGGGAAGTTCCTTAGCGGCATAAATCTGCAAAGGCGTATAAAAAAATTGTGTTTGCTAGAATAAGGACATACGCGTACCTATTTCTATATCTTCATAAATTTGTATATGTAATAAGTTTTATTGTAATTAATGAATCATTAATTCTGCTAGTGGGCTAGAGGGTCAGTGTAAACGATGCTTCAAGAAAACCGGCGCAATGCAGTAATCAAGCGCGTCACGCGATTATTTCCGTTAAATTGTGACAGGCAACATTTTAATTCTGCGTTGGATAACGTGTAATCAAAACGCTACAAAATTATATTTATAAAAAGTGTTAGATCGATTAATAGAAGGAGAATTCCTTTTTTTCTTAACTTACTAAATACGACATTACTCTATCAATATTGTGGCGGATCCTTATTTTAAATACATATTGAAAGTTGAAGATATTCTACCCCATAGCATAGTCTCTACAAGCCGCGTTAACTTTGAAGACACGTGTCGTAAAATTTCTCCAATCTAAAATCGATTACTAACTTTACGTTAAAAGGTTGTGCATTTTTCTTTAGGTTAAACGTACGAGTTAAACGTAAATTCATATATTACAACTTTATTAATAATTGAATTAATCAACAAAATGCTATTAATTTCTCAAAGCAATTATTCCACACACAACATATTAAGGCGAAAATTCCATCCGTTTTAATTTCAGTATTTTAAAGAGCGCCGTATAAAGTTTAAAAGAGCTGAAAACATAAATACGGCGTCCTCTCGTGTGGGATCGCGTATTTCAGCTCTTCACATTAAATTCTTTGTAAACACGCTCGCGCTAGATCTTAGTACTTAATCTATTAAAGTGCTTCGAATTTGAGGTAAGCACTCACAGAGGAGCAAGAATTGAAAAAAGTGCTATTTCAAAGAGAAACTAAACCTTTTAAGGCCCTCGAAAGGGTGGAGTGTTCGTGTCAGATCAAGGGATTATCTTCGCCAGAGTATGGTCAATATCATCGGCGTTGAATTAGTAGTTTATGCTCGATTCGAGAGGGATTATGTTTTTGCGAAAGGGTGAGCTTCACTTCACGGAGAACCTCTTCAAAGGGCACATTACAAACGAACATTTTAATGGTTTAGACAGAGAGCGATAATAAGATATCTGTAAATACAGAAAAAAACAAAAATAAAATATTTCTTCATTGTTTGTTCGCTGTAATCTAGGTGGAGAGTAGATATTTCTCCCACTGTATGAAAATAAGATGTAATAAAGCCAGCTAAACCGCAAAAAACCGATGAGTCTACATAATTAAACCACAAACAAATACCAGAAATGTAATCCGATGTGGGTTTCCCAAAGCGTAATGCTAAATCGATGAATTCCTGCACGTGATATAAAAGCGTTCGGTTAAAGTAAAGGCCGAAGTTGTCCAAAACTTTCCAGCTAGTTTCGGTGTTACGCCCTGAAAAGATTCTGCGGTACACACATAGCTGTGGGGCCACTAAAATTGCTTTCAATCATAAATCAATTATAAGTGTAGATGCATCGAGAATGAGAATCCATTTACGTATTTCACCCAAATCAGGCAAAAACCTAATAATGTTGGATTTATTATTTTTATTATAGGAATACAAGACTAGCGTTATTTAAATTTTAAGAGCGCCGTGAAAGTAAAATAATATAAATAAAAATGTGTATTATATTATTAAGCAAGTTATTTATTTCCAACGGCTTCAAATAAACGACCGATAAAGTAGTCACGCAAAATAGCCACTAAAGATTGACAGATGTTTTAACTATGAGATTGTAGTAAATTGGTGTTAACTTAAATTCGCTCGTTCAATGGCTGCACATTTTAAATCTCTTTGAGGGTGGAAACTATTTTATTTTTTGTTGCGCAGGCCTGCTATCGCTCACTGGAAGTGGGATTTCGATTTTTACACTAAAAGGTTTTAGGAATAAAAATAACCTGGATTCCTGTTTTATGTTCCGCGAAAATAAAACTCTTATTGCATAATTTATCTCTCGAGGACTAGATATTTCACGACACGAGTACTTAAGTACTGAACAAAGAATATCTACATAAAAAAGGTACACGTAGAAATCAGGTGACTTTCATTTTATAATTTGTGTTTTATATAAAAAAAAAATGGTGGTAAAAACTGACGAAGTTTTTAAAACTAGTAAGTGAAGGAAACTTTTAAATGTGAAAGCTTTTCAATACAGAAACGGTGACGCATATGGCGTGATGAGAACATCGTTTTAAATATACAAGTACAATTTAATTATGAGGAAAGTCCAAGCCATACCTAGTTTATTAAGATATAACTTGTACCGTATCGAATACCTTCGGACATCAGGTGTCCCATCCATCTTTGTCAACACAATCGCTTCGAACAAAAACGCATCCAACTACTATATAATAAAGAACAAATTCGCTTGGACTCGTGAACGCGCTTGCACGACCTGATGTTGAGTGGTGTGCAATTTTTGATGCAACGTGTCGACATCCATCAGTGTCACGACGGAATAGCCAATAAATTGTAGCATACTGTTCCCTACAGGAACACAGAAATGTATTGTTTTTAAAAAGTGCCACGCCAGTGGCAGACTCCCTTTCAGTACACCTACTGCTAGATTGTAACTACTTTTCTAGGTTTTTTACCTAACCTATTTGTAGCAAATGGTGAGCGAGAATTCATACCAAAGTACTCGTCTTTTAGAGTGTGAAGCCGGGTGAGTTATGAGACCCGTTTTTGACGGGTTAATAAAGTAATATCATGCTATTTATCTAAAAACCCTAACGATTTAATTACTAAATCGTATTGCGCTGCGTCACCTAATCGATGTAGCGGAGCGGAGCGGCCAGCGGCGCGGGGAGCGGGGTTGATTAATTCGTTTAATTAAAACGAGGATCGGGACGTATGCCCCTATAGCTGGAATTAAAATTATTTTTATCCCCGCGTTCCGGGTCAGCTGTCAATCTAATTAATGGTCCTCTTCGGCGAAGGGTTATCGTCGATTGAGGTATCCAAATTTTGGATTATTGCCGATACGGAAATAATCGAAGATTTTTAATTCCTTTGATCGGACCGTGAAGATTATCCTCGTCATCTTATTTTCCTCTTTTCCTTTCGATGCTTCACGCTTCGATGTTGTTTCACGGTACACATATTGAATGAGTTTTCGTCGGTTCATCTTATGCTTTGAGCCTTGATTTGATGAATGGTAGGAGAAAGTAAACCGAAAATTGTTGGTAACGCAGATGATCAATCGATTAATTCTAACTTTCATAGTTCATATGTTTATGTAGATTAGATTTTATATTTAATGTTGAAAACAATAACGAAATTAAAAATCTCTTTAGAATGACGGATCGCCGGTTCGAGCCCGTGTCGTTAATTTTTTAATTTAAATATATTTTTAACTTATAATAGAATGCCATCAGGTGTGAAAATGGTCTGTTTTAATTACTGTAACAGCAATCTTTGAACACGAGTATGACCTCTATTGAGATTATTTGGAACTAGTATTCAAGTTCTAGCATTTACTTGTTAAAATGTGATTAATAAATTGTCCCGATAGTCTCCGATCGGAATAATTACCGGCTTAGCGTTTATCCCGACACGGGCGTGTGATTTGCCAAACATATGAAACGGTTTGACGCTAAAAGATCCTTTAACCCATCAATTATGTCACGAAATTTTCAACATAAGGGATTAACGGGCCCTTTGTAACGAGCGGGCCTGCCGGGTCATAATATCATTTACTCGTGAGAATTACAATTTTGAACTGAGTGGAAATATAATATATAACATACGTTTTGCCTATTGCCACTTAGTTTTTGCTTTAGTCTGCGTATTGCCACTGGATATTGGTGGATTATTTATATCAACAATTTATCATTTAATTTATAAGTGTTCTTCTTTAATAAGCTAGTTCGAAAATAGTTGATGATCAATGTTGATTTACGAATACCTTATCTTTACAAAAAGAACACACATTTGAATAAAACATTTTAACGGGTTTTTACCCGAAATATATTTATATAATTTTATTATCATTTGAAAACCATTCGAATCGTCGGACCGTAGTCAAATTAATATAAATTATTTTTAACTGTTTAAAACGAGAGATATTGGCCTATAGTTAAATTATCAGTTTTATTTCAACCTCGCACAATACTACTTTTTTTGTTCGTTAAGGTAAGATTATGCTATTATTCCGAGAAATAATTAAAAAAGTAAAATAACTGGTATTCATTGCTTATTACAAGACGCTGAAGTTGGAACTCAAGTTCAAAGAGGCCTTTGAATTAGCAATTTTTCGTCTCGTCCAAATTGTTTCGGGCTCTTAATAATTCAGTTTACAATTTCAAAGGAGAATTTTCTTACGGGATAAGATTTGCGAGATGGAGTTTGGCGGCGTGTGACGCTTTTCGTCTTCGTAATAATGGAGTTTTTCTTGTGGGAATTGGAACCGCAGCCCATGCCAATATGTCGCCGCTGGAATAACCATCCTACTCATAATAAACGCTCTTGTACATACAACAAATTTATTCTTGTCGCCTGAGCGATTTTAATAAAAATTCACCTAAACAAAGCTGAATAAACATTTTTATAGAATCGTGACATCGCGAACTTTTTTTCCAATGCTAATAGTCAAAAAGCTTCGACATTGTGTCATTTCTATATATTTTTATTACACAAATATATACTAGCAAGTGACACCGCACGCTTATCGCTCCGCTTATAATTTGTACTACGTCGCCACAACTCACAAAGTTTTAATCTCAGGATTAGATAACAAAAACAAATGTATACAAGAATAACTGGAGATCAGAATTAATCACTTGAAATTGTAGGAAACATTCTTTTTTACACTAATTTAATGTTACTGGAAAAATAAGTGTACGAACTTTAAAGTTTTAATCAAGAAGGAAGCGTAATTAACTATACGTTTTGGAATATTTAGATTTGTTTGAAGACTTTTATATTTTTCTCATGTTGTTTCATATTGAACATGAGGACACTTTATAAATAAAAAAATCTATAATCAATTGAAAAGAAATACGACTCGGGCAGGGCTTGAACCAACATCCACAGCGTTCGGAGCTATTGCTCTAACCAATTGAGCTACCGTGTGCTACACGTCATAGTAGATTTTTTTAATCTATTGTAATTTCAAGCATAACATTAGATTTGTTGTTTTATGTGGAAGCCTCTAGAAAGAACATCAATCAACAGGTAAGTTATGTTTATACATAGGAGCGGGTTTCACGAAAACAACACACGGAGAAATGTTCGTGACGTCAGCGATTTCATGGTTTCCTGCCTCATTACAGAGGCACTAATTGGTTTTGTTTATTGTTCCGACTGCGCAGTGGTATTGCAATTTACTAGTATTTGAGCCGTTTCACAGATCGCAGTAATTCCCCGTTTGTGGTTGAATGCAACTTTGTCTGTTGGGTTGTAAGTGCAAGAGTATGAACAGATTATCGTAAACTTGGAGGCATAGTAAAGAAAAACATAATTAATGCTTGTTACTCTTTTTAGTATTGATATCTTGATAAACAACTGTGTGTTGCTTATCAAAGAAAAGCGGGAAAAGTCTGTATTGCGCCAAAACAATTTATTATCCGCTTTCCGTATTAATTCAATATTGCATTATGCTATGTTAATTATGAAAGTGAGAAAAACAATTAATAACATACACATTTAATTAAGTGATAAAAAAAACTTGAATAATTACTCATTTATGAAACTCTATGTAGTAACATATTCGGTTGTACCGTCCTTTATTGAACGTTTTGACTTCCTGTTTCAGGCGATCAAATTTATATTATTTTTAATATATGGCCTAATTGTCAAGTAACTCGGGGCAACAGTAAAATTGCGCCTCAAAATTTAAATAGTAACACAATCCCGCAGATTCCTTTGATGTCGGAAGCCCTAAAAAGCGAAGCCGCTCTCGCGAATTGTTCATGTCATATTACGTTTGAGGCTTCTCGACTCAGTTTACTTTATCACTGCTCGAGGAAAATGTGCTCCGAGGAAATTTAATAAAGCCGATATCCTTTATTAAGAAAACGAATTCGGAAAAACAGAGTCTATTAGAGGTGCGTCGAGCCCTGCGGAGGGGCGTTCCGATTTCAAATTAATTCTTGCGAAATGCTGCATTGACGGCGATGTAATGAAGTTTGCGGGCGTTTACACATTAAGGAAACATCAGAGGAAAAACTTTTCATTTAATGGAAAAAATTATTTTACAGGTTATCGGTTTTCGATGTGAATTCATTATCAGCGCCTTTCGATATACCTACTTATTCTAACAATTTCTTTACAAGGACTAGACATAATTGTTATATAAAAAAGCTGGTCGTGAACGAAAGGGATGATTGATATTCCTAAAACGTAAAGTCATAATAATGAACATAGAAGAATGAATAAGGTAACCAACGTATTCTTTGTAATAATAGCTTATAATAGCGTAGATTTTTTAAATAAAACACTTTAACGGTTTAAAACGTGATATATTAGTTAAACTTATTTGAAAATGATTTTTAACTTCGGCCCGACGTTTCGGATGCTTTGCAGCAGCCGTGGTCACGGGGAGACTAAAGATGGAGGATGTCTCAGAGTCAAAGTAAAGAATTGCTACGCTAGCCATTTTCCGTCAAGTTGGTATTTGGCAAACTGGCCGGGTCCTTACAAATTGACTAACGGTGTCTTCGCTTTGCTGGTATGCTGTTTATTGGGATCCAGAGTTTTTAATATGGGATCCCAGGTGTTTGATAGTTTGAGGCCGTCCTCCCTATTGAAATTTCGGTGTTTTTTGATTTCAATTGCTTCGCGTACCAATCTTGGAAAAAATCGACTCTCCTTTGCGAGGATTTTTGGTTGGTCAAAGCGAATGTAGTGATTGGGCCCTTCTGATGAGTGTTGGCATATCGCAGATTTGGAGAGACGTTTATGTTTTATATATAAAACCGTTAGTCACCTTATCAATTCTGTAAGACCCGGCCATTTCGCCAAATACCAACTTCACGGAACAGATCTACAATTTTTACTTTGACGTCTGAGACATCCTCCATCTTTAGTCTCCCCGTGACCACCTGCTGCAAACTCCAAACTCCCAAGTTAAAAATCATTTTCAAATAAGTTTAACTAATATATCACGTTTTAAACCGTTAAAGTGTTTTATTTAAATGTGTACTACTCGCGTAAACTATAGACAGTATATAGCGTAGATTGGTCAATTCATTACATCGTTACGTGCTGGTTGGTACTCTAAATGGTTTCACAAAAAGGAATTAAATCTATAACCTCATCAAGTTAAACTCTAGAAGATATCGCTAGACCAGCACTCACCCTTAAACAACACACACAATAACATATCATATTCTCTTTCGAAAATACGACGGAGCCTAAAGAAATAATATCGACATTGGAATATCATGTTTTACAAAATAAACCTCACTGCTCGGCAAAAATAGATGTCGTTTGGTTTATCATTTAGAGATCGAGATGAGAATATGTACAGTTGAGTGCAAATGTATTTACAACTTTACAAAGAACATTTTTATCTTTAGTAATAACATAAAAATTAATCCTTACATATACATCAAGAGAGGGTTTGCGGTTCAAATTGTATATTATGTGACCTTTGAATGCGTTTTTTTAGTTTGTTATATAGCGCAAGTTAAACAGTTTAAAAGGCAAAATAAATTCAGTACCTTATATTTTATTTATTTTGACAATGGCCTGATGTAGTCAAAAGACTCGCATAAGCTCTATTATCATATATAAGCAGAAACTATCGTAGTATTTTTTGCACTTGATTGTACACACGAACCATTTTCCGTTGACGGAAACGAAGCATTTTTGAAGGAAAACTTTATTTTCATCCTTATTAGCTTTGGTATAAAGTTTGCATGTCGCCGATTTCGCAAAAGAGGGTATCGTAGTATATCTCCGATTTCTTTTGTGTTTTTGGTATCCGTTGCTTGATTTGGCAAAGAATATCGTGGTATAGGCGAATCGGTGATATTTTTGGAGTCTTTGTGACGTTTGCCAATATTTGTATTGTTATTTTTTGTGAGGTATGTTAAAAGTCCTACTTTATATTTGGATTTGATAAACAATATATAAGGATGATTGAATTTCTAGCGTGATTACTTAATTAAATAAGATTGTTTATGCGCGAGTTGAGGGGGCAAAATTGGTAATGAGGGTAAAGGTAATAAATGCGCGAATAGCACAGTTTTTAAAGAGCTCGCTGGTGTCATGGTAACAATGTACAGTTTATAGTCAACGCTCCGTGGGTTCGGTCGCCACCGGATCTAACATGTTTCTAATCAAAGTATATATTTTTCTGAAACTTGGTGGACTTTGTCTGGAAGTCTAGATGTTAAATGGGTGGTGGAAAAAATCGTCGCGGTGATGAACACCGTCTACAGATAAAAAATCCAGTCCTGTTTTTTTTTAATTTGTGGATTTTCAAATATCCAAACCGATATAGGTCAACAATGCATCTCGTTTAGTTCTTGTACGGCTAAGACCTCCTCTATCTTAAAAAGAACCGTAAGTAAGAACCGATTTTGAACAATATCGAAACAATTTTAAAACTAAGTACATTAACCGAATCATCTCAGCAGCCATAAAACACGAGGAAGTGTTATTTATCGCCCGAAAGTGTAATCCACTGGCGCCATCTATCACCTTGGGCTATTCCCTAAGCTATTATCGCGGAAAATGACGTCGCCGTTTGTTTAACACCAAGAAAACAAGTTCTGATTTGTGAGGGTCGCGGACAATGCGGACGAAATAAAAATTTATTTTTAAATATATATTATAGCAGCGTGGGGTGGTCATTTGTCGCGGTCGCGTAATAACCATCTAAGTAGGTCAAATGTTTGCATCTCGTTCGTTATATACAAATGGATAGATTCAGATGCATTACATCTGAATCGTTTCAGCCTCGGTCTGGAAAATATTAGTATTTTTTATATTGCGGGCCTTTCTCTTGAAAACTTCTGTGAAATGTTCCTTGAGAACAACTTTTCATGAGTCAAAGGTACCCCTTACTTCATCTCATCATTGCTACTATACAGTAATTTTGTACGCACATTCACACCTTACCTACCTATCTAACCTAATTTGAATATAGTAAAAATAAACAAAAAGTATTTTCTTTGCACCTTAATGAGGAAGTACAACATCCTTACCTGAACGTCAACGTAGTCAGAGGTCTGTAGGACTTGTGGCTGTGCGGCTCGGCCATGGGCGTTCCCCAGAAATCATCCTTGAAGATCCTCGTAACGGGATTCTCTCCGTTCACGTCCCGATTAGACACGATGGCTGGGATGTCGTCATGCACGAATTCACCATTCAAACTATTGGTGTAAGTCAAAGCCCCGACTGCCGCCACGAGAGCATATATAGCCCAATCGTTTTCACTGCGCCATGACTTTGCACTGGCCTCTTCGCGAACTGACGGAAGCCCTCGACGACGCATTGTATATTTTGTAGATTGCGAAGTTTGACACTTCTACTGGTAGTTAATTAAAAATATAATAGTTCCCATTTTCACTGTTAATGTACATAATTTTTACTCTAATTTGCTATAAAAAAGTTTTGTGCTATGTACCAGTGTTTTCTTCGTAAAAAATATATTATTTGGCACGCAGCATTATTAACATTACTATTATTACAATTCAATATTAAGAAAAGTGATAGTCAAAATTACTCTTAGTTAATTAATTAGTCTAAATAACTAATCTCTCTAACTAGTATTAAAAAATGGAAATGACATTTAACCATGAAAAGTTCGTTGTAAAAAGCTTAAAGGAACTTAAGACGCGTCACGCTGTTATAAAAAACCTATCGCTACTTCACACGACATTATGAAATAATATTTCGCATAAGTTTCTCAGTCCCACAGTCAGCACACGTTCAGCGTAGTGGACGTCCGTTTATCAGGGGTGATGGATCACCGGGATATAAATCAACATAGTGGGTCAGTCGACCGCTAATGTCGTATTCATGAGGTTCGCTCACGAAGATTTCCCTTTGTAGATGTTTTCGGCTTCCCCACTCCGAGTTATCAATAATGCGAGGCTGAAACAAAGAAATTATGATTTATTATTATGATTAATCTACGGGAAAAACGCTCTTTGTGTTAGTTAAGTAGTTCGTCGATGAGAATCGCTTATTCAATTAGCCGGCTGCGCCGTATTAGGAATTGTGTTTATTTGTTATGTAAGAAACATTGATTTTAGTGAGCGAATGTTTGTATTAAAATTAAAGAAATGATTCCGAGGGTAGGGTGACAGTAATGCCATTTTATCTTTACAGAATAACTGACCTATATTTACTATTTCTGCATAAAATCATAGCAAAATTGTCTCTATCTTGTTACTCAGTAAAAACATCCCATACCCCACGCAAAAACTAGATTTCTCTACTAGTCACAAGTGATTCAAATTATGCTAAACACAGACTTTTCTTTCGATCGTGCGAACTTTACAAGCAAATATTTTGTGCAATAATTTAAATAAATAAAAAAAGTATTTTTAAGCAAATTTTAAGTTCATGATTTAATTTCTCTTGTCTTTTACTTGGGTTTATGATGCCGACATATGTCCATTTAATTAGGTACTAAGATATGAAAATTTTTGGGTGAAGCAATTCAATTGTCTACGAAAACTCATTTGTAGTCCGGACGCTCCGACTATCCCGAGACTACCTCAAAATAATTACATCCAGCCGTTTCCTTAAGCTTAATCAAACACGCAAAATTCCCGAGACGTCGATGGCCGATGGCCGGGTGGGCGACGTTTTCGCGTTTGTAATGCTAATGTTACGTCCTCCTAATCCCCTCGACTACTTCGCGAATTAAAACTTGACGCTTAATTAGGTTTGCCGAAGCTGATTTTAACACGGCGCCGCTTCATACACGCTTTGAATTCATAATTTTCGAAAGCGTTAGATGAAGGGGCCTTGTTTGACTAAAACACTTCTTACAGTGCATCCACAAAGACGGGGAACAGCAAAAATGTCGATGCATCAATAAGTACATGCCGGACCACATTCAATGCTCTAAATACATACCTCCAGTGCAGCAGGTAACCACTGACTTATATTCACTATTATTTTGGCTTGTCAGTCAGTATCGTATTTGGGAACCATTATTAGTATTAGTAGTCTTTATTATCAGTATTTGGGTGTAGGTGCACCGATTTTACGAATATTAATTACTTTTAAAAACGCACTGAACTCGCGGAAACTATTATAACAAAGCCAGTAATCACCCTAACACCCGTGTGTTAAAACTTAATTCCTTAATTCGCACAGCTAGCTCGCGCCCATAAGCGCGTACCACGTTCGGCCGAGGAAGAGAAAAAACTAAACTACCCTCAACTTTTAGAACCAAACAGTTTAAAATGTATATCTTGCAAAAACTATCAGGGTCGTAATTGATGTTTCTGGCGCTAGCGTAGTATCTTTGCTTGACTTTGACTTTGTTCATATGGCGGAACAGGTGGAGTTAAACAAAACAGCGTCGTGAAAAACATATTTCCAACCTCGAGGAATTAACGAATTGGTAAGAAGGGCTCTAAGTATCTGCGAACCATTCATCTTGTTTAGCCAGACTCGCAACTCGTAAGCCGAACTCCGTGAGGGGATAATTTGACATGTTGTACGTTAGTGGTGTCGTTTTGACACATATCTTATTCATCGTGTTTCTGCGCAGCCTTACATTTATCATATTCTGACGTAAACCGGTATTAGAAGGGCGCTTAAGCTATCAATAAGCTCGTAAAGGCGATTTTCAACAACGAAGAAGATTTTAGATTGAATAATTAATTCATTAAGTTTATGATAAGTATTTTATAATGTAAATAAAACACTTTAACGGTTTAAAACACTAAATAAATTACGTATAAGTGTTTTCCCTCGTCCGTCTACATTAATACTTATGAACAACTTTAGTGATTAAGAATTTAATTTACGTATTGTCACAGTTATTGCCAATATTGCCTTATAAATACTTGTAATTTTACAATATTGTATTCAATTGTATATAGATAAAGTAGAAAGATGTATGTAGATCACTAGCGCCTGCGCGTCTTCTTTCAGAACGCCTTTTGAAAACCAAACCGGAACTAAAAGCCCTAAATTACACCCAAGGGCCTTCCTTGCAGAAAATAACCTTTTAAAAGTTTGGTAACTAAACATTGGTCCGACTAAAGTAAGTACATTTCTGTGGATTTTAGTAAGTTTATTTAGTTTCTGTAAACATTAAAAAGTTGTCTTAGGAACTTCAAGTATCTTTATACGTTTTTCATGAATGCTATTTTTTATTTAAAATGTTTTAATTTAATATACAAAATTTGATGTTTAAATGTTAAAACAATACGACCGCTAAATACGCTCCATAAAAGATTTTGAATCGCATCTGAGTCTCAATACAGTCCTTAAAACAACAACAGATCTTTTTGAATCGAAGCAAAACTTTATCTTAAATATTACAAAGTTTATCACGTTATGCTGAAGAATCTCTGTGAAATATAGAGGCAATGTAGATTCAAAGAAGTTATAATTTTTTGTTGTTGATGAGAAAAGTTGTTTTCTCCTGGGATGTGATGCCGAGTGGCTCGCCACGATGTATGTTTATTGTTTAAGGGTATTTGTTTTGAGCATAGATTTGGCTTCCCAAATAGAAGTAGATACAAAGGTAAAATATACCTTTGAAGAGCGTTCCTTGCAACAGGAAAGAAATTGCTCTGTGTGAATAATGAGACTTTATGTAATCAGTCAATTTTTTTTTGACGGTTTAAAACGCGATTAATTTGTGTGAGCTAATTTAAACAATATTTTAACTACGGCCCAACGTTGCGACGTAAACTACAGTTTTTAATATAATTATTTTAAAATATGTATAACAGAGTATAATATAGCTGACGTTTTTTTTTCCTGCTTTAACTCTATTCTGACTTTCTTATAACAAAACTAACATAGGAACTGGAATCCGCTCATTAATTAGAATCTTTAATCACAAGAACGTCGATTCGACAATAAATGATCTGTCGCAAATAAATGTAATATCATCTCCTGTTTGGACCAGAACGAACGATGCATAATAGATTAAAACGTATGTTAACAAACCCGGCCTTTATGTTTCCGGGTTCAGCGCAATCTTTCAACGCTTTGACAGATTAAATTTCAAATAAATCCTCTCCGTGCTGTGGAAAAATTGCAGTTCCATAGAAATCTTGGTGAAATGGCGAATATGCAAATGTATGCGGCCGTACGCCGGAGTTCAGTGCGACGATTTGTTCTGTGCTCTTATTACTGAATTTTTGTGTAAATTTAATTGAACGGCGGCGGATTGAAAGGCAGTGGGAGCACTTTTTTGTAATTATAATGCACTTAGAGGAAAGAATTAAAAACTTACAAGAAGTCAAAAATAATACGAAGAATTTAACAGGATATTTAAAACGATTTTAAGTGTTAAAAACCACGAAACATAAGTAGGTAGACATTTAAATAAAACACGTTAATGGCTTAAAATGTGATATAAATTAGTTAAACTTGTTTGAAAATATTTTAACTATCGGGGAGGGTCCCGTGACCTCGGTTGCTGCAAATGACAAGAATCCGATACGTCGGTAGTTAAAATAATTCAAAGTTTTACTCATATATATCGCGTTTTAAACCGTTAAAGTATTTAAATGTGTACTTCTCGCGTAAACTACAGACAGTATTTAGTAGGTTGACAGCTAAATGGAAATTTAACGTAAAATTAGCTCGATGCCCGTGCTTCAGTATAATAATATCTTAATAACCATAATATTCCGATAACATTTTCCTGCATCGAGAGCTGATCTTGCGGTTCGTAATTCGATTAAACTTCCCCCACACCTAACCTCATTAACTTTTGTTTTGCTTAGCAAATGTTTAACGTCGCTGAGTATGCGACACCGCGGCTATTACAAATTTACTTGCATAAAATCCCATGTCCACGGGGGTCTGGGACAAATTATCGCTGTATACGAAAACTATACTCTATACTAATATATAAAGCTTAAGAGTTTTTTGTTTGTTCGTATGTTTCAATGCGCTAATCTCAGAAACTATTGGTTCGAATGAAAAAAATATTTTTGTTTTAGTTAGCATATATCGAGTAATCTATAAAACATTGGGTTGTGACTAATAGGAGCGAAGACACAGCGGTAAATGGAAAAACGACGACGACCCGAGTAACACCTTAATTTAATAAAGATGAAACCTCCTCGCTTTGCAAAAACAAATTCGGATGCCAAAAATAACTGTACAACGCGGATGAAGTCGCTGACAGAGCTAGTATATAATGTAACGATACCAAATTAGGACCGACGCTAGACTGGACAAACTTCGTTGTCTTTGAACACCAGTCTTATCATGCTTTTCAATCTTATATTATTAAAAGGTTAATTAACGTAGGACATCAATAATTCGTTCTACCGTATATTT